CAGATTTGAACACTGTCCTGACGTCAGGACAGTGGCGCTACGGCTATTGGGCCAACTCCACCAATCAGGAGGAGACAGCCACGGCCATCGCCGTTCGAAAGCCCTGTAGTACATATGCCAGGCCTGTAGATGGTGCTGTTCTCACATAATCAGCCCTTGCAAAAACAGAGCTAAACATTTTCAAATTGAGCGAAATGAGGCATGGCTAAAATGCATGATCTGTTTGGTATTTTGAAAAATAAAAAGTATAAATATGCCTTATATACAGTAGGTATGGTCCTACACTATATTATTCAAATATAGCATGATAGGTCCACTTTAACTTACGAGGCAATATACAGTACCTCACCTCAGTGGCCCAGCCTTTCGTATATTTTTCTGTGTGTAGCCCTCGGTGAAAAAAGTTTGGACACCCCTGGTTAGATATTGCGGTACCACTTTACAATAAGACTACCCTTATAAAGTATTCATAAGGGGTTTATAATGAGGTTATGAATTAGGTTGTAAACACTTTATTGAACATTAAGAACCATTTATAAACCAGTTCTAACATAGTTTTCATACATCAACACAGGCTCACTATTTGGCAAGATGACTAAGCCTTATATTGGCTACTTAGCGAGAATCAACTCAGTGAACAACAGATACCAAGGATGCTGGCCGATGAAGAAGACAAAGTAAGCTAAGTAGCCAATATAAGCAGGGGTGCACATAACTGGTACGCAGGTACGCATGCACGGCAACAATCTGAAATGCGTACCGTAAATTGTGTCACAAAGCGCATTTGCGTACCGACGTACTTGTGAAGCTTTTCCAGAAGGCGGTTAGATCACCGGACGACAGAGTCGGTCTCCGTGTGCACAGACAGGGCTGCTGTTAATGTCGGTCTGTACAGCAGCCCTGCGCTAAAACAGCTGATCACAACGGTCACACGCTCCGCGAGTACCTCACTGAGAGAGTTGTGTGCACCCCTGAATATAAGGCTTAGCAGTATGTGGGATAAATGTGGGCTCACTATTTGGCAAGCAACCGGTCACAGTTGCCCTGTTTATCTCATGTCTTATAAAAGCTTATTCATGATTTATAAAGTGTTCACAACCTAATTAATAAATGAATTACAAACTATTCGTAAACCCTTTATAAGGGTAGTCTTATTGTAAAATGGTACCGATATTGCTTAAAGGTGGAGTAGGTAATTTTGGAGAAACCAGCTCGAGTGTGCTAGAATTTGAAAATACACAACCGGAAAAAAATCTGCCACCTCCTTACAGAGCCCCTCCTCCAACACACACGAACGCGCACATGACCAATGAGGGCACGAGATAAGTTTGTGCACAGATGGAAGGCTGACAGGCAGGTAGGCCATCCAGTTATTTTAGCCGGGCCGGCTAAAATGATTGGTCGTGCTTTTTACAGTACTACGGCTTCCACAGATGAAATGTATTGATGAGAAACTCATCTAACTGATCATTTTTTTTTTTTTTCAAAAGAAAACCCACAATGCTAACACTGAGTCTCTGAATTAGCAACGAGCGAAAAATGCTAACGCCTTACTGCACCGAAAATTACTCACAAAACCTTATTATTTATCTTTTCACCACATCCAACACATCGATTCACATCGTGAGGGGACACAGAATCGATTGACACCGACATTACCACTGAATTATACGTATTTGCGACGTTATAAGCAAAAACGGACATCAAAACAGGTGACGCTAGGTAGCTAAAAATGCTAACATTTTTACCTTGGCTCTGTAGACTCTCCAAAGTGGTCTTCAATGGCATTAAAACGATAAAAACGCTGCTGAAGTTAATCCATAGGTCACTCTAATGTGTCTGTGTCCCTTTGAAATGATTTCTGATAATCTATAAGCATTAAAGCTCCCATGTCATGCTTTTCCGGTTATTACCCGTCCCCTTGTGTGTTATGAAGGTTTTTATGTATGTAAACGGTGTGCAGAGTCAAAACCCTCAAAGTACACCATGTAGCGAGTAAAACTCTAACACAGAAAATACCTCCCCAAAACGCCTCGTTGGAGATACGTCACTGCCCATTTGAGTCTTCCATTTAGTTCCGGGTACGGCCTGATGTCATGCGGTACCCGGAACGAAATGGACCAATCCCGAAGAGCTATGGCCACACCCAGCGGCGCTGGCCGCACCCTCTGCCAGCCTAACATTTACTGTTGGAAGCTCTGGTTCAGTTCACAATCGATCCAGTCATGCCACTGCCAAGGACCTGTTTCCTGAAATGTGAGGAGAAATCTGAGCTGTTTGTCCTACCGACGGAAGAACCACGACGAAGTCAGTGGTTGAAATGTCTTTTTAACACTGTTCCTTCAGAGGTTCGAAGAACCGGCATTTCACAGACGAAAGCTTCCAAAACATTGCCCAGTTTGAGGCCGGATATGCACAGCTTGTTTGGACCGTTTGGAGCAGGGGAAGATTCGGGTACACAACCTGTAAGTTTGCATTGTTATTTGTGTATTTATCAAACAAGACTGTTTAAATGTATAAACTGTGTCGGACTGCTAAGCTATTGACACAGTGCTAACTGTGCTAACGTTTCCATATATCAACTCTAATATCAGCAGATGGCCTTGCATCCAGTACATGTATCTCATAGCAGGAGAATGTCTGCATTCACACACGAAATACTCATAGACAGTATACTCCGGGTGATTTGCCGTACGGTCAGTCGCGAAACGTAATTACATTATAGCTGGCGTAGGGTGTATGCTACCGAGCTAACCAACGGAGCTACATGGGTTTGCTCTGGAAAACACGTTCTTGATAGCCTAATATGAATCACTAGTTTTATTAGTGGTTTTATTACACTAAACAAGCCCAGCTCATACAGTATACTCCGGGTGATTTGCTGTGCATTGTGACAGTACATGTACATACTGCATGTATAGCTAACGAGGCTAGCTATACATGCTAGCGCAAAAACAATGTATTCATGACCGTTACAATGTATGACCGAACGTAGCAGACTACCCGTCTAAGATTGCAATTATAAACACAATATTGCTAGCCTAATATGAACCACTAGCTTTTGTTCATAGTAGTTTTATTACTCCACATTATAGTTGCCGTTCCTCCGAGCTAACGTTAGCTACCAAGGTAAACAAAGCTAGGTTAGCATATTAGCTGGCAAGCTGTTCATTAGATTGATTAGATAGATCCACACTCCTACCACAACTACTACTAACGAATCTAAAACAACTAAGTTTCTCTAATATTTTGTGATTTGCATTTGATTTCGTCCAGCCAGATCCTGCCGGACAATACATGACGGGGACCGGACTACCACACTGAGGCCTAAAAAGCCCCGGCTGCTATAGGCAAGATGCCGACAACGGGGAGTAATTGACGATATACCGTGTATATATGTATATTTACGTTCATTTTGTACATTTCTAAAAATAAAGTTTAATGGAAATACTTAGTAGGCCTATCCTTTCTTCCCTGAATTATTTGCTCCTATAACATATCATTCATATATAGCAAACCATGATTTGATTTCTCATCAAACAGTAGTAGTTTATAACAGGTAAAAATAACTTACTCTTTGTTATGACCGGCTCATAGGCCACAACGGAAAGACAAGGAGACATACACGAGTTTACAAAACCACGGCACATTTATTGTGGTAAATGCAGAGATAGGTGGTCAGGATCGCTGAGCCGCTTTGGAGAGAGAGAGGGGCCCGTGTGACTCCGGGCAGCTGGCTAGCACCTCGGCTCCGGCCAGGTGTCCGTGATCGCGCTGATTAGCCTCTTCAGCTCCACCCCATCTTAAGACAAAGGCCCTGGGGCCGTCACACTCTTTTATAACAACAGTTGTAGGTACAGTTCGGTTAGTTAGCGTATAAAATATACGGCTGTACCGACGCCATGATAAGACTGATGTTCCGCTGAGAGCAGCCGGGAAAAGCACTGTTAGACATGGGCGGAGCCTCTCTGGTGGTTGACTAATCAGAACAGAGTGGCCGAGCTGACCAATCGGAGCACACTAGGCTCACAGGGAGGGGGGGCAAGAGCTCCAACGAGTCGTTTAGTGGAGAGAGTGAATACTGCTGAATACACATGCTTGACAGAGATGCTGTATGCGAAACCAATGTGAGTTTGGAAAATTGCACAGTATAAATCTATTTTAGTATACCTCAACAATGTAATTATGATCAGTGGAAATGGCCATGACATGGGCCCTTTAAAACTGCTTTTCCGTTTCCAGATGTCAAAGCTAGAGATAGGTCCACTCTGATGCAAAATTACATGCGCGAAGCCCCCACCTTTTCTCTTCACAACGTGTGTGTGTGGGGGAATCCCCCTTCAATTCTATTGGCTCTAACGGTCAGAAAGAGGTGTCAACCATCAAAATTGAGCAAGGGAAGCCAGAGATATGGAAAATCCACCCAAATGACCCCAGAAGTAGTTTCTTTTTGCTAAATCTCTCTATAAAGGTCAAATGTCACTTGTTTTGCATCAATCTTGATACAGGGTACTTATTATATGTTGTACTTTGGATTCCTAAAGCTTTTAGTCTACTAACCCATCATCCAAGGGTGGTTTTCACTATAAGTAAAAAATAATTTTTGGACGAACACTATAATTTACAGTTTTTTACTATGTAAAATCTGACTTTTCTACATCCAACTCACAGGTTTATCATTACTTTGAGAAAAAAGATTATTAATTTAACCCTTTTAGAAGGGAAGATATGGTCATTTGTTCTGGGAATGTCATTTTCGAGCCTGAGACCTGAAAAACAGGCTCGGGGCTTAACAGGTTAAGATATTCATTGCTATCGGGATGTTAAGAGCATTCCATGGAATATAACAAAAAGTGTATCTCGAGCCGGTTTCTCAAACTTACCTACCCCACCTTTAAGCAAAATAAACATTCCTTATATATTCCTCATTTTAGGGGAGGTGCGTGAGGGAAGTGAGCGTGTGTATGTGTGTGTGTGTTCCTCCTTCATAAGCCTCCCCTCTCCTCCATCAGCTCACAGAGTGTCCGGACCTCACACCGGCCGCCACGGGACTATCGACTCTCTTCACGCGCACACCGGAACTATTCTCCCGCCATGAATCGGATTACTTCTCCTGTGTTTGCGTTGTTTCTCTTAACGGTGAGTCCTGCATCACTCCTGTGTCTAAACTGCTGTTTTCTGAATAACTTCAAATGTAGACTGAGTTTCTATAAAGTCCACCATTTAAATATTAATGTTTACCGTTAATTAAATAATTTGCGATAAAACACACTGGCTGTTATCCAGCTGTTAAACTTAGTCATACAAATGCATCATAAAACACAATTATTATTAAGGATATATGACTAATGTTAAAAAAACAAGCTCCAAGCACAAACACTTAAAAGATTAAAAGTCATAACTATTATGTTGCCAAATATTTATATGGCTATCTATGTTATTACAGGTGTTTGGGGCTTTAGGAAAAATAATGTCAGCCACGTACCCCCTGATCAGCGCAAATACTATTTGTTAGGGACAAAAAGCCTATATAAAGAGGTACAGTACAGCGCTGCACCATCAGTGTTTGATTTATTAAAACAACAACCTTGTAACTGAGAAACACTTAAATGCTACATTTCAAATGTTTACAATCCATCACTAAATTCATGGCAAACCAATTTTAACATTATGCAATAACACTAAGACGACATTAGTTGCATTGAACTGATCTTTTTAATAAGTTGTACTTACAATTTAGTGAGAATCATGGGCTTGTGCTTCACTGAGGATCTTTGTCATTCTCAGTGACAGGGAGGCAAACTGCAGTTATTACACTTCGCGTTTTGAAATATGTACAACTCAAATTAAATCAAAATAAATCAAAACAACTGTACATTAATTAAATACATTTGACATTTAGCTTGAGCTGGCTTTAATACTTTCTTTATGGTATTCAAATTGGGCTCAAGTAGAACCTTTACCCATGTATTTACCTAGTTCTGAAAGAATAATCAACATTGTGCATAACAAGATAAAGCACTATAACACCTCTATCAGCTGACGCCAACAGGCAGGAGCATAGAACCATAACACCTCTATCAGCTGATGCCAACAGGCAGGGAGACAAAACACTGAGAGCACATCAGCCCAAGGTTGCAGGCTACTCTGAAAAATATAAAATATAAATCATATACTGGTTTGTTTAACACCTTTATGTTTACCACATCATTCCATATGATGTTTTTACATAGTTTTGATGTCTTCGGTATTAATCTACAATGTAAAAAATAATCTAAATAAATAAAAACCTTCGAATGAGAAGGTGTGTCCAAACTTTTGACTGGTACTGTATGTGATCAAAGGTTTTCAAATGCTGCAGCAACTGTCATGGGGGGCTGTGTGTGTGTGTGTGTGTGTGTGTGTGTGTGTGTGTGTGTGTGTGTGTGTGTGTGTGTGTGTGTGTGTGTGTGTGTGTGTGTGTGTGTGTGTGTGTGTGTGTGTGTGTGTGTGTGTGTGTGTGTGTGTGTGTGTGTGTGTGTGTGTGTGGGTGGTACATTCCTGCTTTTTTTACTTCTTGCACGACAATTCTTTCTCAATGTTCTTCCAATGAAACTGTCACCCTGTCAGGGTGTGTGACTTCCACAGAACTGATGAAAACACTCACACCCATAAACACACATGATGCGTGGACTCATTTGGCTTTGGTGATTTGCATGAATTCAGTATCATTTTCCTTGAAATATGACTCCTCCCAGGTAATGATTGCACAATGACCAGCATCTCTGTTCTCTATATCAGTGGTTCTCAAACTTTTTTCAATAATGTACCCCCTTTGAAAAAAAATGTCAGCCAAGTAGGGAGACCAGGGACAGTTGTAACACGGGACAGTTGTAACGCCTTCAATATCTCCAATCACAAACAAGCTAGAGTGATGAAACTCACTCTGCACATGCTCAGTTAGATGGAAAGATTGCTGTGAAAAAAAGGAGCCACGTTTAAATCTGTCGCGAAAGATATCAGCAAAAGTGTGTTTCTGAGGTAAAACATTAACAAAAATGTTATGATGTATTTTTTGGATACTGTCTTGAGGTCAAATGTCTAGGAATCCAAACTAGTATTATTAGAATCACTGTTTTGTAAGCTAAACATATAACTAGCTAAATATGGGTCAAGCTAGCCATCAGGCAGGTTCACAGGGGGTGAAAACATGACTGGTGGTCCTGTGACGGTTGTAACACGGACCACCTGGGACGGTTGTAACATGGCACATTTACAATGATGGCTCATTTAATCGAATGATCAATATTGTTGATTGGTGTGCATTGTCCCTGTAAAAATAAACAGAATAAAATACTGTACGTAAAGTGTGTGCGTGTGTTTACAGTATGCCAAATATCAGAAAGAGGAAGACAGACAGGGGAGTGCCACTTCCTCTGCTGCAGAGGGCCTCAAATGAAGTTCAGGAGGGCAAATCAGTCAGGGCAGTGGCAAAGTCCCATGATATATGCCATGTCACCCTGTACCGGTTCCATAAGAAAAGGCTGAGGTTGGAGAGTCAGGGATCAAAATCACCCCAAAGAGTAGGCTACTGGACACCCAAGAAGGTGTTCTCAACAGAGCAAGCGATGCTTTTGAGAGACTACCTGATGGAGGCAGCTGATTTATACTATGGTCTCAGCTCAAAGGAGGTAGGTCTACATAATTAAGGTAGAATAGGCTATCTATACAGATGGAAGTGACTTTTACACCTGCCACAACGGTGAATCAGATTAATTTATTGGGAATGCTGATACAGCATTCCAACTATCTGTTATGCTACGCACAAAATTCTTTATTATTCCGCCGGGTTATTTTGCACCTCTTCTTCTCCCACATTCCACATCGCAGAAACTCCGTTCAAACATCAAAACGTTCAGCTCGGTCGGGAATCGATGGCTATTACTTTTCTCATTCATAACTTTCATAATTCCAGAGATACATCCCATAATTCATCAAACTTTTAACATGGAAGTCAATGGAGAACTCTTCAGACTTGAACAATCTTCATGCAACTTCAACTGCTAACTGCTCCTTCATACTTTCACTCAGAAACCTCATTCCAACTATAAAATGTTACACATCTTTCTGACATTATTCGTGTAACACAACCTTTAAATTTGATTCATACTTTTAGAGATATTAAACATTGTTCAGACCTTGGTAAAGAGGCCTTCTTCAGATTTTAGAGTGCGTGATGTCACAGTGGAGGACAGATTTAATTTTGCCTTCATATTTTCTTTTAAACCTGCCATAATTCCCAAACCCTACATTCCTGAGACATAATTTTTCATGAGAAACGTAGAAAAACATCTCGTAGCTTGAAAAAAAAAAAAAAATTAAGCAAAATAATTAAACATAATGCCTCTTGAGGCCATGAAGTGACAAAAACGTTCAACATGTCTCCATTAAACCCCATTGTAAGTTCAGCCTCATATTTCCCCACCACAGCAGCCGCACACCTTTAGTTAATCTGCCAAAAAGGCCACATTATTAGGCCGAAAGTACACAAAAAGTACACCTCAGATGCTCAAGTTCCTTGACATGCTTCACGCTTTGAAATGTCACCGATATCTGTTACGGTTCTTCAACAAAACGTTCACATGTAAGAGGTTTATCTCTCATTCAGAGCAATGAAAATGCTCTCCTCTCACTGATCACCATGGAAACCTTTGATCTCTGGACACGTCGTTAGCTCAAATATAAACACCTTTGTCATGGAACACGATGATGTCATAACTCCAACTGACATGCTCAGAGCAGCAAACTTCAAATAATGGTTAACACAGCTTTACGTCAATTATGGGGTGTCATCATATGCCGTTTCCATGGAAACGCATCCCTCGCCATAAAACACGATGTCGCTGTAACTCCAATGGACACGGTCCGATCGTCCCCCAAACTTCGCTTGTATATCACTGGTCCATGCCTCAACAGCTTTACGCCAAATCTGAGATCTCACCATAGGCTGTTGCCATGGAAACGCATCCCTCGCCATAAAACACGATGTCGCTGTAGCTCCAATGGACACGGTCCGGTCGTCCCACAATCTTCACCTGTATATCACCTCGCCATGCCTCAACAGCTCTACGTCAAATCTGACATCTTACCATATGCCGTTTCCATGGAGACGCATCCCTCGCCATAAACCGGCCCAAAACTTCACAGGTTTGGTAACGATGCAGCCATCAACGCTTCTAAGCGTATTATGGGATGTCATCAAATGCCGTTGGCATGGCGACAGATCATTCGCCATCAAGTTAGTTCAAAACAGTTTGCAGTTCAAATATTCTGCTGCTTTTCCAAGACTTTTTACTTTCTTTTCTTCTCTCATCACACATTCAAGCCCCCAGTGTTCATGTATCATTTCAATCTAAATTCTTCACTTTCTTCTTACACATTACATTTCAGCATAGCAGTTTAGCGTCAGCTTTTCAGCATAAAGCATTCCCACTAGCAATTTCTTCAGGAATTTCTCTAGTTCCATCTGGTGTTCTGTTTTAAGTTATGTTCATTGTTCATTGTTTGTTGGAGGGTGTGTGAAACCCCATTAAAATCTTGTTGCCTTAGAATTTGACAGCTTTCCCTCTTTTTCGTCATGTAGTGTGAAAAAAGGTAACCGTTATTAACATGTTACAACCGTCCCTGGCATGTTGAGTTTTAAAAAAAAAATACATTTTCCAACCTGTTCTTATTTCATAGAAACATCTTAAATACATTGTTTCAGTAGTTAACACATTGGAAATGTATAATATAGCAAAATGGCTATCCTAGTGTAAATGTTTTTACTTATTGGGGAAAACCCAAAAAGTGTTACAACTGTCTCTGGTCTCCCTACCCCCTGATCAGCGCAAAAACTATTTGTTAGGGACAAAATGCCTATATAAAGATGTACAGTACAGCGCTGCACCATAAGTGTCTGATTTATTAAAACAACAACCTTGTAACTGAGAAACACTTAAAGGTAGAGTAGGTAAGTTTGAGAAACCGGCTCGAGATCGCTAGATTTGAAAATACACAACCGGAGAAAATCTGCCACTTCCTTATAGAGCCCCTCCTCCAACACACACGAACGCGCACATGACCAATGAGGGAACGAGATAAGTTTGTGCACAGATGGA